GTGGCATTCAAGAGAGAACATAGCCCCCCTGACTCTATTGGCAAGCTGTATTGGCTGGCTCCCTCTGTCTGCCTGTTGCCTGGAGATTACTGGAATGTACTGGAAAATTTAGTCAACCAAAATGTAGGAGATTTTAGTCGACTAAAATACGACCAAAACTAAAACAATTTGGATGACTAAAATAAAACAGCATTTTAGTCAAAAGAGTATGACTAAAACTAAATCAAAATTTGGCGTAAAAATTAACAGCACTTGATGCCTGCTCCAGCTCTGGCTTATGTCCATCTATGTCCCGCCACCTGGAGCTAGACCCAACATCCACCCTTCTGCAAACCAGCAGAGAATCTCAGCAACCTTTTGGGCAGCACAGTGGCTAAATGGTTAGCACTTCCGCCTGGCAGTACCAGGGTCATTGGTTTGAATCCCAACCACGGCACCACCTGCCTGGAGTTTGCATGTTCTCCCTGTGCCTGTGTGGGGTTCCTCCCACACTCCAAAGACATGCTGGTAGGTTAATTGGCTCCTGTATAAATTGTCCCTAGTATGTGTATGTATGAATGTAAGTTAGGGACCTTAGATTGTACACCCCTTGAGGGTTAGGGACTGATGTGAATGTACAATATATATGTAAAGCGCTGAGTAAAGTGACAGCACTTTATAAGTACCTGAAATAAATAAATAAACCTCTCTGTCGAAACATTGTATTTACTTCTTTGTTGTTTTTAATTCCAATGATTCCAGTTACCTCTTCATAGTCATTCTCAGGAGTCAGAAACTGGTCAGTAATGGTCAAACTCTGCCCTAGCTGCCGGCTGAGCGCATCCAAGAATCGATCTGTATCTCTAGAACGACTTGGCCGCGAGAACGTGAACATCTTCCTGTGAGTTGGGGAAGGGGGTAGGCTGCCATCCAGACTGACGTAGGGATTGGATTCAGAGCTGCTTGGAGAAGGGGCGCTGGGAGGGCGCTGAGGGCATGGGTCTGATGGGGGTGCAGAATTTTGCCAAGGGGGTGTCCCTGCATCAACTTCCGCTCTCCTGGTAAAAAGCAGAATACACAACATAACAAAACATATAAAATAACACAAGCAGCAATGTGCAAACTGAAGCAGCCTATAGCAAACCTCCTTCATTGTGCTAGCTGCTGTAAATACGTCTGGTGTGCTGGCTGTTTTTTTTTCTGAGCTGTATAATAAATGACAGGTAGAAATTAATTGATTGCTATCGGTTATAGCACTTTGCATAATTACCGCTCATAAAGAGTAAGTTCATCTTGACCAAAAATATAGTTACAGTGAAGGAAATAAGTATTTGATCCCCTGCTGATTTTGAATGTTTGCCCACTCACAAAGAAATGATCAGTCTAAACATCGAATGGTAGGTGTATTGTACCACTGAGAGACAAAATAGCAACAAACAATTCAAAAGAAATGCATGTCTAACAAATGATGCACTGATTTGCATGTTCATGAGAGAAATAAGTATTTGATCCCCTTCACAAAACATGACTTAGTACTTGGTGGCAAATCCCTTGTTGGCAATCACAGAGGTCAGACATCTCCTGTAGTTGGCCACCAGGTTTGCACACATCTCAGGAGGGATTTTGGCCCACTCCTCTTTGCAGATCCTCTCCAAGTCATTAAGGTTTGGTGGCTGACGTTTGGCAACTCAAACTTTCAACTCACTCCACAGATTTTCAATCAGATTAAGGTCTGGAGACTGCCTAGGCCACTCCAGGACCTTAATGTGCTTCTTCTCACCAAGCTGCTTGGCAATAGTTTGGTAGCCCAGTGTAGGTCTACAATCCTGTCCCTGACACCCTTGGACAGCTCTTTGGTCTTTGCCATGGTGGAGAGTTTGGAAACTGATTGTTTGATTGCTCCTGTGGACAGGTGTCTTTTATACAGGTAACAAAATGAGATTAGCAGCACTCCCTTTAAGAGACTGCTTCTAATGTCAGCTTGTTACCTGTATGAAAGACACCTGGTAGCCAGGAATCCTGCTGAATGATAGGGGATCAAATACTTATTTCCCTCATGAACATGCAGATCAGTGCATCATTTGTCAGACATGCATTTCTGTTGAATTTTTTATTGCTATCCTGTCTCTCTGTGTTACAATACACCTACCATTCGATGTTTAGACTGATCATTTCTTTGTGAGTGGGCAAACATTCAAAATCAGCAGGAGATCAAATACTTATTTCCTTCACTGTGTATCTATCTATCTATCTATCTATCTATATATATATCTATTGTTATAGCAACATAGTGTGCTAAACCTACCATCCAGCTAGGGCTCCTGTTCAGTACAAAAAACGTCTTTCAAAACTGCCTTTCAAAGAAGCCTTCTTAAAATCTTCTACAGCCCATGATGGCTTTGTCCCAAGTTATTGTAGGAATGAAACAGCCATTGGGATCAGCGTCTCCTAGTGCCATAGGAGGGAGCTCTGTCCTGTTCCTTCAGGCTGCACATACAGTGTATTCTTTCCTGTCACTTATGATGAACTTAGTGGTGGCAGCAGAAGAGAGTACATACTGCACATGCATGACCTGAAGGAACAGGAAAATCAAATTGATCCCATCTAACAATTCACATTAAAATCAGAGGGTTTAGTTGCATACATTTGCAAATATATGTGGAAGCCATAGTGCCTATGTCAAGGTTCCTCTGTGTACTGCGGTCCATACTCTATATTTTAAGAGTCTCCAAGTTGCAGCCCATATAGGAATAGATAAATTAAGGGCAGGTTTGCCTGGAGGGAGTAAATGCAACGGGACACATTGGACACCCAGCAAGAGCACAATTGGCAGCTGAAGGCATCCAATGTGTCCCCACGCCAAGTCCAAGATATAAAAAAAGACACCAGCCACCCCAATTTATAACTAGCCTTTGCAGCAAGGTGCACATGGAAGGAAAACAGACATCACAAACAAAAATTTCCCAGCACACTTACCAGCTAGTCTGCAAGAAAACCAAATTGACCCTGCCTGACAATTCATGTTAAAATAATTTGGAATGGAGCAATCACAGGCTGTGGTATATTACAAGAAGGCTTCTTTTAAATACAAATCTTCAAACTGAAAAGGAGCCCTGGCTGGAAAGTAGGTTTAGCTCATTACGGTTAGCACTTCCGCCTGACAGTACTAGGGTCGTTGGTTCAAATCCCAGCCATGGCACCACCTGCTTGGAGTTTGCATGTTCTCCCTGTGCCTGCGTGGGTTTCCTCCAGGTACTCCAGTTTCCTCCAACACTCCAAAGACATGCTGGTAGGTTAATTGACTCCTGTCTAAATTGGCCCTATTATGTGTATGTATGAATGTGAGTTAGGAACCTTAGATTGTACACCCCTTAAGGGTTAGGGACTGATGTGAATGTACAATATGTAATGCGTAAATTGATGGCGCTATATAAGTACCTGAAATAAATAATAATAAATAATTATGCTGCTATGCCCATATGGGACAGCATAGTGACTCTACTTGTGCCTTATTAAATTCCTATTCTGCCCCAATCTGAGGTAGAAGGGAGAAACAAAAGGTAAGGAATAGAGACTGGTTGTCATTAAAATCTCTTCTATCAGATGTGTTACTTTCTATACCTATTGTTAGGATACAGTAGTATCTTTCCCTCAGAAAGCTATCCCTAGACCAGGGGCGGACTGACAACTCATGGGGCCCCCGGGCAATAGGGGATCATGGGGCCCCTGTGTCCTTGCCCAAACTCAAAAAAGCCTATGAAAAAGGTTACAGGGGCATCTCATGGGGCCCCCTACTGACCCTGGGCCCTCGGGCAGTGCCCGAGTTTCCAAATTGTCAGTCCGCCCCTGCCCTAGACTATGCTGAAGGAAGGGAACAACACCCTTAAGCTAGCCATACACTAGTAGATTTTTGTATGAACATTTTGTACAAAAATTCTCATCAAAACATTCGATGGCTTGACAATTGTTCTTTGGAAGTACTTAAAAAAATATTTGCTTTTAACATTTGATTTTGGAATGAATGACCTTTTCCCAACAAAACCACATTCACTGTTAGAAATTTGTTTGTGGAAGAAAAAATTTCCCTTCCGCTCCATCAAATTTTCTCATCACTGTGGTCAAAAACGGATGTCGATATGACCCCATTGACGATTAGAAACCTGAATGAACACTCTTGAAAGGAAAATGTTTAAACAAAATTCTACTAGGGTATGGCTGGCTTTAGAGAACCTTGCAACTCTTTCCGTTTTCTATCCCTTACTCCAACTTTTTCTTTATGAAGCAAAGCATTCATGTACTGAAATTAAAGTGGTTCATTCCCCCCCCCAAAAAAAGAAAATTGACCCAACATGTTTTAGCACTTCCTTGGGTGAAGCAAGGCAAAATGATAAAGTGTCCATCAACATGTATAAGTTGACACTATAAACAGAGATAGAAAAAAGATTAAGAACTGGTGTGTGTGAGCGGCTCATCTCAATTGTATAATTGTATAAATTACATCTTTCAACACTTTCATATGCATAGGCCAACTAAGTTCTTTGATAGTGCAGTAGTAGCTCCATGAGCCTGAAATCTAGGGTGAGCCGGCGTGTTCTTTTATACTTTTGATTATTATGTTCATTGTGTGGATGTACGTCATAACTCCGTTGTTTATGTATATTCCTTTTGATGTATTGTAGACTGTATTGCAGTTGAAGCTTTTCTCTCTCTCCCCTGAAGAAGCCCTTGTTGGGCGAAACATGTAGGGAATTACTGCAACAATACAGGCAAGCTTCAGTTTTTGTTTTTACAGTATTGTAATTAAATACTCTTTTTCTTTCCCTTTTTCTTTTTTTTGTAAGATTAAATCAAATGTATTGTGATTTTTAAATCTGTTTATCATTGTAAATTTGCACCCTGAAAATCCCACACTATCTAGCTCAACACTTTCATATGATGTTGAAAGTCAAACATTACACCTACCTGTTGTATGATAGAGGTTACATGATGCACGGGACCTCATACTGCTAACTTTTCCTGGGTAACTGTTGATAAAACGATTTTCCAGCTCGGCATAAACTGCTGACATCTAGAAAGAAAAAAACAGGACAGAAATACAACTCAAAACCCAAAACAATGGAAGCCACAACATCATCACAGTTTAGAAGGCCAACAACCATATTCAGTAATATTTGGTCAGTTCACCAGTTTACATTATGGGTCTCACTTAGCAACACTCACAAGACTTATTGCCAGATCTACAGTAACTATAGTTTAAAGAGAACCACTCACCAATGGGTATTGGTATGCTGTAATTTTATTCTCTGGTCTTGATCTGTTTTAAGACCTAACTTATACTGTGTCTATTAAGTTGTAAGGTTGTATTTTCTCCCCGTCAAAGCATCATGAAAAAAATTGTTATAAAACAGCCTTTCTCAGCCTCTTCAACACAGGAGGAACTCTTGAAATAATTTTCTAGTCTTAGGGAACTCCTGCTAAAAATTATATATAATTATATAATTTTATATATAATAAATATATCTACAGCTCATGATACATTAGTGTGTTGCTTAGTGGGGAGAATGCTCAATGGGAAGAATTACCACTTTAACCATTTCCCATCTGGCCCATGTACATGAACGGCCAGACGGGAGCAGTGCAGGAGTGGGTTGCCATTCATAAACAGCACCCGCATTTTCAGGCTGGGTGCGCTCCCTGGGAGCGCGCAGCACCACGATCCAGTGCCCGCTGTGTCATCTGGACATCGATCGATGTGCGGGACCTCTGTGTGAGGTCCCGATCATGTGATCACTGATAGGCCAATCAGTGATCACATGAATAGTAGTAAGCAAGATGTCACTTCCTGACATCATTGCTTACTACTAGTGAAATCTGTGAATGATCACAGAGGTCACATGGTACAAGACTATTCACAACAGCCTTGCATCATGTGACAAGCTGTGACCAATCACAGTTCTCACAGTATTTCTCAATGGCTGCAGGAATGCAGCCAGAGAGAAGGAGAAATTATTGATTTTACAGCCTTTATGGGTGTAAAAGCAATCCGTGTAAAAAAAAAAAAAAAAATCTTCATCACCCCCCACAAGCAGTACAGGGTCACTATGGTGACATTGTACTGCTAGGGTGACAGTATGTAAAAAAAAAATCATAAATAACAATATAAAAAACTAAAATAAACATTTAAAAAATTTTTTTTTTAAATTATAATTTTTGGTTATAAACTAATTTGGGTTATTTTTTTTTTTTTTTACTAAAAAGATAACCGAATAAATTTTGGCCAAGATTTATGATGAAAGATTATTTATTTGCTAAATTTTATAAGAAAAAACTTTTTTTCAAAATGTTTGGACATTTTCATTTATATAGCAAAAATAAATAAAAATCTCAGTGGTGAATAAATACCACCAAAATAAAGTTTGATCCGTCTCAAAAAAAAATGCTAAAAAATTCATATGGGTACAGTGTTGCATGAATGCGCAATTGTCATTGAAAGTGTGATAGCGCTGAAAGCTGAAAATCGGCCTGGACAGGAAGGGGGTGAAAGTGTCCGGACTTGCAGATAGCTAAAAGATCAATGGTGTCAGTGGGAACTTATCTGAGAGGCAGAAATTGCTCATTGCTCAAAAAACCCCTAGCAACCTCTGGAGGAACCCTGGTTGAGAAACCCTGTTCTAGAAGGTCATCCTATCTATTGAATGATCCTAGTGGTGACTCAAAAAAAAATGTCATATACAAAAGTGCTGTTAGGATTACATGAAAAAACAAAGGCTTTGTTAATTCAGTTCTCCCTCCCCTAGCAGCTTGTAGAGTGTATGAGATGTGAGCCCTGAGCTCAGGAAGGAGGCAGGTTGGCTTACCTAAAGGCAGACTAACACTGCGATGACATTTCTAATCGGACAGGAAGAGAGTACAAGCGAATAACAACACACACATCCATCCTATCAGCACTGCTATAACAACTGAAAGTATAACTAAAGGCAAAACATTTTTTTATGTTTTGGATAGAGTGGAGAGAGATGAAAACACCTTATGGGTTTTTATTGCTGTCTGTGATCCCATTAGGGAGATTCACCCTCTCTATTTGTCCTGTTTGCTGTTATCGCTAAGAGTGGAAATGAAAGAAGATCCAAAAATTTGAGTTGTCACCAGAACAGGAATAGATGGGAAATCTTTCAATAGGGACACTGGTTCTAGTGAACTTGGTGGCAACCTGAGATTTCCCTCAATTTGGAAGGATTCCTCCCACGTCCTGTTGCGGTTATGGAACAGGAAATGAAGGGACGTTAAATGGTAAGTTAAAAACATTTTTTTTTTTTTTCGTTTTGGAGAGAGATTAGAACACTTTTTGGATTTTTATTGCTGTCTGTGTCCCCATTAGGGAGATTCACCCGCTCTATTTATCCTGTTATCGCTGAGTGGAAATGAAAGAAGATCCAAAATTTTGAGTTGTCACAAGAACAGGAATAGAGGGGAAATCTTCCAATAGGGACACTGGTTCTAGTGAACCTGAGATTTCCCTCAATTTGGAAGGATTCCTCCCACCTCCTGTTGTGGTTATGGAACAGGAAAAAACTGTTAAAAACTAATTGAGATTTAAGGGTTAAGGTTCAGAGGAAGGATAGGGTTAAGTCTTTGGGGAAGGCCAACAGTTCACCCTTGTTTTTGACACCTAAAGCCCTGCACTGTTGAAAAGTAACAGATCACCACTACGGTCCCTACCCTGCTCCTTCAAAGATATAAAAGTTGAGGGACGGAATGACATACTTACCTTGTCTGCAGATACCTATGCACAGGGATCCCATGACATCCAATAATAGGGAAAAATGCCAAGGTATTAGTCAGGTGATTTCTGCTAAAGAGAGGTCCATTCAGTCTGAATACTGATCCTCCTCTTCAGCATAGACCACAAGATCATATTGTCTAAGCACTCATCTACATAACCAGTCACCCTAGGTTCCTGGAAGTGGTTTCCACAGCCAGCGCAAATATTTCAGATCATCTGCTACTTTCTGTGATTTTAAGAGAGGTCTTTTTTAATATATTATATTTGAGGATCCAGAATATGCTTTTGTTACAAGCTATAGAAAAGACGTTGATTAGTCCAGAACTCTTCTTTTAAAATGCTTACAGTCAATGATATAATGCCCTTGATATGTAATTTTGGCCAGAACTGAATGAGTGTTGCATCTATATGTAAACAGAATAGGCACAAGCAACCTGTGGCTCGCCCACTCTTATTTATCTACACTAGGATGCCTAATAGTTGTCTTCAAATCCTGGAACATGTACCCTCTCAATGACCAGAGGGCAACTGGTTGCCCATTCTTAAGAGAAAGGGCATAGCTACTTTTTATAATAAACATACTAAGCCAAAAAAACTTCACCTCAATAAAATATACCAAAAAAACAAACACATACTATAAATTTTGGAAAGTTAATCATATACACTATACCATTTTGGGGTTAGGAGTCTCTGGTAAAGATGTCCCATCTCCTGCTTGTCGTTCTCCATGGACCACTCGAGGAGCAACTTCCATTGAGTCACACTGTGTTACTGATCAAGGTTAAAAAGGAAAAAAAAAATGCATTTATGGATGAAAACATGAACTTTCATTAGGTGATTTGTATGTTTAGATAAAATAGGTTGCACTGTATACAGATTCAAACAACAGGTCCACTAGTAACCTATCTCCTTTTATTTTTTTTTTTTTTTTTTGCTTTAAAAATTGTCATCAAGGAGCCAACCAGTTCAGCTTTTATTTCGTTTCTTCTGAGTCTCTAACTGTTTTCTGTAAGCTCTGCACTACAAGCACCTCAGGAGTTTTTTAGATGCCTGTGCTTGAACCAGCATTCACACCGGGTGGAGCTGATCCATGGATAACGCTTCAGGCTAACCAATTTATTCTTTATTGAACTGGACTGAATTCCCCTTGGTTGAACTCCAGGAGGGATGGATTTTCTAAAGTGTGTTCCTCACTGGCCATTTTTTCCATTTGTCTAAGGACATCCCATGTGAACTTTCCTAGCCAAATTTTTGCAAGCCTTCAGAAGCATACACATCTTAAGTGCTCCTGAAAAAATTTAAGCCCAGATATAACAGAACCGACCCCAGTCTGCAAATGGGTACTTCCGTTAGGACACCGCTTCCCCATCCGAACACCGACCACAGACACCACAGCAGACCACACAAGACTAGACGACACCAGTCTTGAAGTAAACCAGGAAATATACTACTTTATTTTAACACAGATGCAAGATATATACATTCAAGTGAACAACCCCCCCTCCCTGCATAATGACACAGGGTGGGGTAATCTACCTTTAGTAATGAGACACACCAGCAGACAGTCCCATCAGGAGGGAGGGCTGCTGCAGACACCCCCCACCAAGCCAATACACATAAACACATACATCCTATAATAGTTTGCTCCCAAGCAAGATGCACAATAGAACAATGGGATGCAACCACATGGCATTAAACAATGAAAAAACCCCTACCCCAATATTAGGACAGATCACTCTGTACCCCAACAGGCACAGGGTGACTTACTCATAATAGGGATATAGGGAGCTGAGACAGGGGTCTCCCCACCTCTCCAAAGTGAGCTGTTTTCCATGGGCCCCCCACCCAAAGTGACTCCCGTCACACCAGAGATTGTTGAAGACAGCAACAGGCTCAAATTAAATGAAAGGAGACCTGAGATGGTTGATGACAGCTCTCCAATGACAGGAAAAGGAGGAATAATGGTATAATAGATTTGTAAAGTCGCATAGATAAAATTCATCAGTTTTAAATGAAGTCATCCTCTAAGAACGTTAGTTTTATGGAAAAGGGTAGCTTTTTTACATTTAGTATCTATTATATACTTAACATTTATATTTTCTGTTTTTGGCAGGAAAGACCCTTGAATGCTTCAGTAACTGACACCATGAAAACATTCAAGACTTTGGCTACCTCTTCTGTCATTATGCTGCCTGACTGAAGATCCCATCCAGACATGGAAAAGGTCAAATATTAGTGTTAGGGGCATTTATAAAGCAGTCCAAATGCAGAGATATCACTGGCACACCATCAACAAGAGTTATGAGCAAAGGTAGGGACTGCCTGAAGAAGGGGTCTTCGGCAGCCCAAAACATCACCATCTTTTATAGGAGGTGAATGCATGGTTTGCTATAGTTATAGTGTGACAGTAATATCTCAACACTTGGACTTTGTCATTTGACAGTGTTCTCCATCAATTCACTGCACCCGTGAACCCATGATCTTTGACTGTGAGGAGTGTGGTGGACCAGGGGCGGACTGACAACTCATGGGGCCCCCAGGCAATAGGGGATCATGGGGCCCCTGTGTCCTTGCCCAAACTCAAAAAAGCCTATGAAAAAGGTATCAGGGGCATCTCATGGGGCCCCCTACTGACCCCAGGCCCTCGGGCAGTGCCCGAGTTTCCAAATGGTCAGTCCGCCCCTGTGGTGGACTGAACAAGTACATCACTGAGCTATCCCTCCCAGGAACTATTCTATCTTCATAAGCCATGTCTTTTCACAGAGAGAACTCTTCGTTTATTAAGTGTACAAGGAGAAGACAGTTCACCAGAGATTTCTTCAGTGTGACCACATCATATTTATTTGTGATTTGTATAGAGCCCTGAAATAAAAAGTTACCTGTTTTTGCTTCCTCAGCAGCTCTTATGCTCCCTTGATATGTTGCCTGTCCATGGACGGAGCCCCGATGTGGTGCCACTTTATCTGCATCCACGGCAGCTGCAAGGAATCACAAGTCAAAATCCATATGTGACCTTACCAATGTAACAAGATAGTTCATTCCTGTGTGCTCTGTTTATTATCCCAGTGGCTAGTGACATCTCATACAAATGTGGTCAAGTACGCAATATAGATGTGACTTTTGAAGAAAGACCAATTCCCCTTTCACACGGGGCAGATTCCAATTTGATCAGCAGGCGATCTGTCCACTGATCCCTTGCTGATCAGAGCAGAGCGGGCAGATGACATATAGAGTGGATAGGGACAGAGCTCTGCTCTATGGGTGATTGGGTATAAACCGAATCCGCTGTCCAAATACACCTGACTGCGCTCCAATCTTCCTAAACAGAGTGTGATGGATCCCCTTCAATTTTTTTAAGTGGACCAGATCGTATAGGAGGTAGGCGGGTGTAAACGGACACAAGTCAGTTTACACCTGCCTGGCCATAGGGGTACATGGAGGGTCTGCCTAAAAAACTGATAGGTGGACCTGATCAGACCTTTTGCGTGAAAAAGGCCACTGTGCTGCCCATGCAAGGCAAAGGTGTAGAGTCAGCCGAATAAAATTTATTGATCAAAATGATTGTAAGCAAACAGTGACTTGTATTTTGCAGCTGTTTGATGAGACTGGTTTGATTTTAGGCCCCATTCACACCTGCACAATACACTTATGTGCATTTTTCTGTGCTTTTTGCATGTGTTTGCCACCCAATAGCATAAGGCAGCCCATTCCCCTGAATGGGCTGCCCTAAGTGAGACAAATGCACCAAAGTAGTTCCTGCACCTTTCTTTTGGCAGTGAGCCGATGAGCATTTTGTAAAGCGTGCTTTTTGTGTTTCTGTGAGCGCTCCTGGTATGCACAGGTACGAATAGGGCCTCAATGTGATCCGCCATTCTTTCTGATCATTTGTTTTGTGAAACACATGTATTATATTCCATTCACACCTTTTATAGACTTCTCTTACATTCTATTTACATCTTTTTACAGAAATCTTTTACTTTGGAATTGCTTAGTACTTTGTACTTGTATAGATAATAGTCTTAAAAAGTACTGATCTACAGAGAGTGATTTTTCCAGACGGTTTTGGAAATTATTCTGTAATTAATTAAAAAAATAATAATTTTTGGAAATTATTTTGGAAATTATTCTCATCTAATATTGGAGAGAGATGGATGACAATTTGTGGTCTGTGACTCCCTGTGTTCTCCCTGTGCCTGCGTGGGTTTCCTCCAGGTACTCCGGTTTCCTCCCACACTCCAAAGACATGCTGGTAGGTGAATTGGATCCTGTCTAAATTGGCCCTAGTATGTGTATGTATCAATGTGAGTTAGGGACCTTAGATTGTACGCCCCTTGAGGGTTAGGGACTGATGTGAATGTACAATATATATGTAAGGAGCTGCGTAAATTGACAGCACTATATAAGCACCTGTAATAATAATAATAATAATTCTTACCCTACATTCACACTTACTGTATAAAGTGTTACTAAACCCACAACAGTAAAATCAGTCTGTATATGCAGTAAAGCATGCTTGTTATACTCACTGTGTAACCTAAGGGGTTAATCCTCCTCACTGTGTAAAAAGGCTGTTTGATCCTGTCTTCTCTGATCCTCCCCTTCTTATACTGTCCCCCATCCTTTTGTTGATAGAACCGAACCTTGGGGGCAAGCTGCACATGCTTAGTTTGGTGTGTATTGCTAGAGAGTTTTTTTATATCTTGGGAGAGTGCATGTGATCAGCACAGGGTCAATGTCCAGACAGAGGGTCAGGGGTTATGCAGCCTCATAGGACAAGCAGGAGAAAATGAAATCTACAAGCTTTAACCAGTGCTCTGTTGGACACCAATAGAAGTCACAAGACTGCTATATACTGCTGATAAAAAGGTATTTATCAGTTTATATTTACTAAAATCATTGCATTTCCATGTTGTGTGTACTGTGGGATACCAGATATAATGAATGCAGGGTCTGGGGTTTAGTATCACTTTAAGGAATTCGGTGCACTAAATGTGTATATAAATTATTTGCTGAAGTCACACGTGTTTGATATGTTTTATTGATCTGATTGCACATTTCCCCTAATTTTGTATATTAATAACACCAAGATCACTTGTCTGACTGTAGAGAGGACTAGTCTCCAATAGGCAATGTATTGCAAGTGTATCTTTTCCTTTCAGGAATTACTGGTTTTCTTTTAATTATTTACTTCTATTCTCTCCCTGTCAGAGCAGAAGTGACAGGCAATTGCCAATCTGCAAAGTCTTGCTATCTCTTGCCTAATCCCAATGCTGATAAAAAAAAACCTCAAAGTTGTAGTCAAGACAGTGCGTCAATCAGCTTTAAACTCAATCAAGGAAAAGGTCAGCCTCCACATGGGCATTACAGCCTGACACTGGGCTTACATATTTTAGGATTTTGTACGAAGTATTAAATACATTTCAGTTAGCGTGTTCAATACACATACTGTAACTCACTTTCTGAGCATATTTGTTTTGGTTGTTACCAACATGTGGTGAAAATTTCATGTCACCTTTAGAAATACACTATATTGCCAAAAGTATTGGGGTGCCTGCCTTTACACGCACATGAACTTTAATGGGATCCCAGTCTTAGTCTGTAGGGTTCAGTATTGAGTTGGCCCGCCCTTTGCAGCTATACCAGCTTCAACTCTTCTGAGAAGGCCGTCCACAAGGTTTAGGAGGGTGTCTATGGGAAGGTTTGACCATTCTTCCAGAAGCACATTTGTGAGGTCAGGCACTGATGTCGGGGGAGGAGGCCTGGCTCACAGTCTCCACTCTAATTCATCCCAAAGATGGTCTATCGGATTGAGGTCAGGACACTGTGCAGGCTAGTCAAGTTCCTCCACCCCAAACTCGCTCATCCATGTCTTTATGGACCTTGCTTTGTGCACATGTGAGATGGGGAAACAGCTCTCATTGTTTGAACACTGTTTGTGTGGAAGTAAATTAATGTTTTGACTGACATTCTGCGGTTTAGCCACAAGATATTACTGTTTTTCTAACACAGCCTCAAACTGCATAGATATTTGTATATTCATGAAGAGGTGGGGTTTTGCACTCAGAGTTGGAGAGAACAGGGAGGAGAGAGGGAAGCCATGTTTTGGAGCATGGTGAATAAGGGGCCGTGTGAGCTGATGAGATTGCTGCCAGGAATGCTGATGAGATTGCTGCCAGGAAGCTGATGAGATTGCTACCAGGAAGGCTGATGAGAGCAGAGGAACTAAGCAACATATACGGCGAGACCGCATGCTTGTTGGAGAGACATTTGTTCTGTTCAGAGTTACCAGCGTATGCAAAGCAGCCCGGGTCGGTAAGATCGTGCATGCACCTCATTTCAGTGTTGGCGCCTTGAGACTGAGTCCAGGCCTATAGTTAGTTAGTTAGGGTCTCTGTTTGTGTCAGGCCACAAGTGTTGTTACTGATTATTGGAAGGACTCCACAACTTAAAGTGACATTTCACATTGGAGAGCTGATAAAATCCTACAAACTCAAGCCAGACTGGCGTTTTGCTCAGAAGGTATACTCAGGCACGTGCTACAGGACCAGTTATGGGAGGGGGAATACTGTATATTTGTGTAAGATTGTAAGCTGTTGTGCTGCACCGCAGGCTAGCCCATACCATACACCCATACACTGATTCCTGCTCTTTTAGGGTAATAACAGGTAAGGTGTGGCAGCTTAGTTGTGCCCGCCAGTAAGTAAATTACTACACTTTCTACCTTCATCCAACAGGAGGCGCCGTGCTGTGCAGCAGAAGGGTCTCAGCATTTGGGCTAGGTGTATGTAAATTGATTGTATGTTTCCAGCATTTGTGGTTGTGTTTATTTGCCACATCTAAGTAAAATTCTGTTGTGGCAAAAGCTGGTGTTGGGGTTTCTTTCCTCGTTAGTGACTTCACTGTATCCTGGGGAGCCCACCCCGGTACACGGCTTACACGCTGGTGCGCAGTCATGTTGGAACAGGAAGGGGCCATCCCCAAACTCTTCCCACAAAGTTGGGAGCATGAAATTGTCCAAAATGTCTTGGTATACTGACGCCTCAAGAGTTCCCTTCACTAGGGGGCCAAGCCCACCCCCTGAAAAACAACCCCACACCATAATCCCCCCTCCACCAAACTTTACACTTGACACAATGCATTCAGGCAAGTGCCGTTCTCCTGGCAACCGCCCAAGCCAGGCATGTCCGTTGGATTGCCAGACAGAGAAGCTTGATTCATCACTCCAGAGAACACGTCTCCACTGCTCTAGAGTCCAGTGGCGGCGTGCTTTACACCATCTGACAATTTGCACTGTACTTGGTGATGTAAGGCTTGGATGCAACTGCTCGGCCATGGAAACCCATTCCATGAAGCTCTCTACACACTGTTGTGCTAATCTGAAGGCCACATGAAGTTTGGAGGTCTTTAGCTATTGACTCTGCAGACATTGTACTACTTTGGGGGGAAGTGATCAGTATTTTTTTTTTTTATACACAATTTGCTTATAGCAAAGAATTACTTTGCTATAAGCAAGCATTTACCTGAATGACATCGATTCATTCAGGGTTTTTTTTTTTTTTTTTTTTTTGTGCTTAGCTGTGATTTGGCCACGGCTAATTACATTACACAGCTGGGCTGTGATTGGCCCAGCTTGTGCATGTGATCGCTGTGACCACAGCTAGGCACACTAGTATACAATGGATGGCATGAATGAAGCCATCCATTGTATACAGCTGTCATGTGATTGGTCACAGCAGGTCACATGGTACCGGCAACGAGGCCGATACTCAGATCCGTCATCGGCCGTGTCCAAGGAGGTACACGGCCGGTGACAGATCGCGCCGCACCGCGGCTCTGCAGGTGCGCAAACTGCGCATGCCCGAAAGGACACCATATGGCGTCCACCCAGAATGGTGAGGGTTTTTGCCGGCCGCCATTCAGCCATAGGCCGGACGGGAAACGGTTAGTAGCGCAAAAAGTTTTTTAAAAACCTGCAGAGGCGATCGAATACCACCGAAAGAAAGCTCAATTCGTGGGAAAAAAGGACATAAATCTCATTTGGATGCAACGTTGCATGACCGTGCAATTGTCAGTTAAAGTAACGCAAACAAATGGCCTGGTCAAGAAGGGGGAGGGGGTAAATCCTCAGGACGACAAGTGGTTACATTTGGCTCTGAGGAAGAGGCTGAGTCCTCGAAACGCGTCAGCCAGTTGGTCATCCAGGGTTCCATCATTGTGGACTCAGATGCTATTTGGATTGAACACCTTTGTTCATTGTGATGTGCCTGTGTTTTATATGTCTATTGTGAGTATGATACCTACTTTTTTATTCTTTCAAGAAATATTTTTAAACGATAATGCACTAGGCCGGTGCTTCCTCTTTTTGTTTTTTTTATTTTTTTTTTTTTTTTTTTTGGGGGGGGGGTTTTTTGTTTTTTTTTATTTGCATTAAGTGGTTACATTTGCTCTGTGTAGGATGCAGACACTTTTAGTTACAAAGCAAAATCAGAACGAATTTAGATGGGTCAGACCAAAGATCAGCCACATAATTAGGCCACAGTAGTTTGCCCCCATTCTGGAAGTGAACATTGTTAGGTATGACATCCTGCTGCTGTTCATGGCTGTCCGCTGGTAGATAAGGGACTTAACAGCTTATTTGGCAGAGCTTAGTAACATCCCTATAATGGATATTAGTAATCAGCCGGCGAGGCCCGACCCCCTACACGGGCCCAGGGCTTAATGGTTTTATGTAAGCCACCGAGCTGCGGAGAAGCATGGATTACGGCTCATAAAGGTTGTGAAAGCTCCATTAGGTCATGTGACAAGGGCTTCCCAACAAACAGGATTTGAGGTGGTAATCCCTGCAGTGGATTTCACATGGTGATGGGAGAAGGATACAAAGTGAGGAGATTTGGCATTTCTTGCGATTAAAGGGGCAGTCCATTCCAGGGGCGGACTGACCATTTGGAAATTCGGGCACTGCCCGAGGGCCCGGGGTCAGTAGGGGGCCCCATGAGATGCCCCTGGTACCTTTTTCATAAGCTTTTTTGAGTTTGGGCCCCATGATCCCCTATTGCCCGGGGGCCCCATGAGTTGTCAGTCCTCCCCTGGTCCATTCATAGGTGAATATTCAAGGAGAAATTGATGCAAAGTACAATAGTCAATGACATGATTTGTTCTTCTGAAATACACTGTTTGGCAGAAAGCATTTGGTTGGGATTTGAACAGACGACCCTAGTACTGCCAGGCAGTCGTGCTAACCATTTAGCCACTGTGCTGCCCCTCCTTCATAAGTTGTACCTGTTTATCTGCAACAGCCTTTCCCCTACAGCCTTTTAGCCTGGGTTCACATATATGCGGTGCGGTATATCGCATGTGATTCGCACAGGAACCGCACCGCATTTCTGTGCAAATCACATGCAATTTGTGTGCGGTGCGATTGGAGACTTACATTTTGTATGGCTCTATAAGCACCACACCCGCACCAAAAACATGCAGGACCCTTTTTTTTTGGTCCGCACTAGAATTGGATTGCATGGGTATTCACACCTATGCAGTCCGATTCTGCACATCGCACCGCATTTTGTTGACCGCTTTCGGGGTTTTGTTAAGTTAACATACACACCTTCAGTGGTTCGCATGAATGGGGTGTGATTCTGATGCGGTGCAGAATTCGCACTGAAAACTCTGATCCAGGGGTGGACTGACAACTCATGGGGCCCCCGGGCAATAGGGGATCATGGGGCCTCTGTGTCCTTGCCCAAACTCAAAAAAGCCTATGAAAAAGGTACCAGGGGCATCTCATGGGGCCCCTTACTGACCCCGGGCCCTCGGGCAGTGCCTGAGTTTCCAAATGGTCAGTCCGCCCCTGGCCCTGTGTGAACAAAGCCTCAGCCAGTATGTGCACTGTGATTGTATAGCTGTGGCCAAATGTATGCGTCCTGTTTTTTTTTTGTATTCTTCTGGTGATCCTGATCCCTGTCGCTATTTTTCTCTTGGCCAGAATGACATGTCCTGCCCCAGCAGCCCCCCTGGGAGCCCCCCATCACAAATCCCAAAGAGCACAGTGGAATGATGCTCAGTGATGGAGCTCTCTGACCTGCCTTGTAGCCCAGGAAGCGAGCGAGCGATTTTGTGTTGGCAGTGCTCTTGCTCTTCATAGGTCAGCAGCTGGAAGATGAACTGCCAGATGATTTGCTTGGCCGGAGTGTCCAGGACGGGGTATATGTCCACTATCAGGGTGTCAATGTTCCTGCAATGAAAATACCAGATAGAATCACTCAATGACTTCCACTATTATATAACATGCTTTAGTTATGCAAATAGCTGGCTGAAGGCGCAGACACTATCATGCTGCTGACGCCGCGCCAATGTCAAGACTGTGGATGGAGGACGTCTATTGCAGAAATGAAGGCAAAGGAGGAACTAGAACACCATACAAGCCTTGGGCTTAGCGGACATGAATATTTATCGTTTACTTCTCTCAGTTTGTGAATCGCTGTTTAGGGGCCAGGCATACACTGTATGTATTTTTAATGTATCCTATGAAGACGTGCGCCAGGGCCGACCTCACACCAATCCTACATGTCCTAAATACACAAAGTGATGAGAAAGAAAGACCTGCCATTGACTGTGACCTCTCCATACACTATCCAAACAAAGAGAACGATTTGACTGGAGTTCTGCAGTAAGAAATTATACCAACAGACATTACATTCTTTATCATTTTAAAGGGATGGGGATGGAACCATTTAGAGAACAGCACAGAGCACACATAATAGTCAATGCAGAAACAACACAGAACACACACACAAGATACAGATTACAAACACAGAGCACACAGCACAGAGCACACACACAAGATACAGAATACAAACACAGAGCACACACACAAGATACAGAATACAAAACACACAGCACAGAGCAGACACACAACATACAGAATACAAACACAGAGCACACAGCACAGAGCACACACACAAGATACAGAATACAAACACAGAGCACACACACAAGATACAGAATACAAACACACAGCACACAGACAAGATACAGAATACAAACACACAGCACACAGACAAGATACAGAATACAAACACACAGCACACAGACAAGATACAGAATACAAACACACATCACACACACAAGATACAGAATACAAACACACAGCACAGAGCACACCCAAGATACAGAATACAAACACAGAGCACACCCAAGATACAGAATACAAACACAGAGCACACAGACAAGATACAGAATACAAACACACAGCACACACACAAGATACAGAATACAAACACACATCACACACACAAGATACAGAATACAAACACACAGCACACAGACAAGATACAGAATACAAACACACATCACACACACAAGATACAGAATACAAACACACAGCACACAGAGCACACCCAAGATACAGAATACAAACACAGAGCACACACAAGATACAGAATACAAACAGAGCACACATGCAAGATACAGAATACAAACACAGCACACACACAAGATACAGAATACAAACAAACAACACAGAGCACACACACAAGATACAGAATACAGACACAGAGCACACAGCAGAGACAAGATACAGAATACAGACACAGAGCACACAGCAGAGACAAGATACAGAATACAAACACAGAGCACACACACAAAATACAGAATGCAAACACAGAGCACACAGCACAGAAAAGATACAGATTACAAACACGGAGCACACAGCACAGAGCACACACACAAGATACAGAATACAAACACAGAGCACAGACAAAATACACAGTACAAACAACACAGAGCACACAGCACAGAGCACACACAAGATGCACTGCACAAACACCACAAAGCACAGAGCACATACAACATATACTGCACAAACAACAGTTGTCAGTCCACCCCTGGACTAGACAATGCCTATGTGTACAGGACCTAAAAGAAACATCTTGACACTATGAAAGGATGGAGAAAACATAACTTGCTAGCAGTCTGCAGTAACATAAATGCTGCTTTACTTGAAAATAAATGATGAATGATTGTCAGTACCTGTGCTGGAAGAAGCTTTCTAGGCCTTTGCAGACTGTATAACGCTCGGTGGGAGTCAGTAGGTGTTCCAGCTGTTGGCTAAAGCTGCGTCCCTGGATGCGAATGTTGGAGGGAAGGATCTCCGCCACCCACTGGAGTGAAGTGAGAGCAGATGTTGGTATAGTGGTCTCCGAATCTGAGTCTAGAAACAGCAGTAAATGACGTTATTCTACTAATGAATTGGAACTTCTAAACTTTGAATTCTCAAAAAAAATGTTTAATAACACAAAGAGCAGCAGAGCAGAGATCAGTATATCTTGACATTTTCTGTGCATAGCAATAGGTTAGCCCGGGTTCACAGTGATGCGGTCCGGAATTTGCAGCTTTTCTGCGCGAATTCAGCACCACATCAGAATCGCACCCCGTTCATGCGAACCGCTGCGGGTGTGTATGTTGAGTTAACAACACCCCAAAATCGGTCTGCAAAACGTGGTGCGAAGTGCAGAATCGGTTGCATAGGTGTGAATACCCATGCAATCCGATTCTAGTGTGGACCAAAAAAAGGTGCGGGTGCGGTGCGATTAGAGCCATACAAAATGTATGGCTCCAATCGCACCACACACAATTCGCATGTGATTTGCCCAGGAATGCGGTGCGGTTCCTGTGCAAATGACATGCGATGTACAGCACCACATATATGTGAACCCGGGCTTATGTGTTTTTATTCTGTACCATACCCTGGTAAAATACTAAAAGTAAATACTTATTATACTCTGAGTCTGCATAATTGCTATGGCTATTAAGGGGGTCCTGCATTATATGTATGGGCTGCACTAGGGTCCTCTAATTAACATCATCTTTTATGAAGAGCATACATTTAGAGAGCCCATACACACTAGTGTACTTCCAATGCAATGCACAGTAATGTATGTTACCCATACTGGATGGCATCCAACTGCACCTTCCCTGCACACCTGCCTTGTAGTGTGCTGCAATAAACTGCTGCTGCAGGACTTTGTGTCCTATGTAGTGCATTGGTTGCCTATTCCAGAGAACGGTCTGCCCTAATGCAGTGCGCAATAATGCGCATTGGTGCACCACAGCCAACCAGACTGGTGTGAATGGACCCTTACAGCACAACATTTTATGTGCAAATTGCAATGTCCACAGAAACCAAGAAGAAAACATCCTACAGGCGTACCTCGGTTTAAGAATGGCTCGGTTAACGTAATTTTCGGTTTACGAATGAAATGCCATTGAAAATAATGCCTCAGTTTACACATTTGTTTCGCAATGCGAACGGATTAATTGGTTTTCAATGCATTTACAAATTTTTTTAATCATGTCCCTGTACAGTATTTATGCCTTTAAAGTGCACTTTATAAAGAGTTTTAAACAGATAAGACTTTTTTTTACTTTTTTCTGACCTCCGGAACGAATTAATTGGTTTTCAATGCATTTACAAATGTTTTTTTTTAATCGTGTCCCTGTACAGTATTTATGCCTTTAAAGTGCACTTTATAAAGAGTTTTGAACAGATAAAACTTTTTTTACTTTTTTATGACCACCGGAACGGATTAATTGGTTTTCAATGCATTTACAAATTTTTTTAATCATGTCCCTGTACAGTATTTATGCCTTTAAAATGCACTTTATAAAGAGTTTTGAACAGGTAAGACTTTTTTTTACTTTTTTCTGACCTCCAGAACAGATTAATTGGTTTTCAATGCATTTACAAATTTTTTTTTTAATCATGTCCCTTTATGCCTTTGAAGTGCACTTTATAAAGAGTTTTGAACAGATAAAACTTTTTTTGACTTTTTTCTGACCTCTGGAACGGATTAATTGGTTTTCAATGCATTTACGAATTATTTTTTAATCATGTCCCTGTACAGTATTTATGCCTTTAAAGTGCACTTTATAAAGAGTTTTGAACATATAAAAGACTTTTTCTTTTACTTTTTTCTGACCTCCGGAACGGATTAATTGGTTTTCAATGCATTCCTATGGGAAAACGCGTTTTGGTTTACAAATTTTTCGCAATACAAAAAGTCCCGCAGAACGAATTAAATTCGTAAACTGAGGTATGCCTGTATATTGTTTTGGTTACCATTAAGTGAATTCTAGTTGGTTGCTTTGATTTACTGCACTTTATGGCACCCTATGCTCTGCTTATTTACTAAGCAGAGTCACAAATAGACCTCATGTACACAGACAACTGAAAGCACAAACAGAACATAAAAATCCCCCCTTGGACTCAGCCCACTACCCCCTTTTATATGCACAGGTGCAATGGGTCTGCACCAAAGATCAGGCCAAAAAGCAAAAGAACAGGGAAAGGCATTAACCCCTACCCTCCCGTCTGAGGCAGCACAGAGGTAACTCATTTCAACCTGCTTATAGGTTGTGAGATGGGGGATACCCTGGACCAGGGGCAGACTGACCATTTGGCAACTCGGGCACTGCCCGAGGACCCGGGGTCAGTAGGGGGCCCCATGAGATGCCCCTGGTACCTTTTTCATAGGATTTTGTGAGTTTGGGCAAGGACACAGGGGCCCCATGATCCCCTATTGCCCGGGGGCCCCATGAGTTGTCAGTCCGCCCCTGATTCGGAGAAGGATCCAACCACACCTGAGCTCATCCAGGATCTCCAAGTGAAAATAAAGTAAAAAAAAAAAAGCCTGAAAGAAAACAAAGACATCCCCGAGATCTAAGGACTGGCAAACTGAAAGACATAGTATTTTTTCCTTTGGTTTAGATTTGCTTCGGCCCGGATTTTAGCGCAGGTCAGCCCTGCAGATCAGCAGAACTCCGACAAGCAGGGTAACCGCTTTAATCAGGCTTATTTAACCACTTCCAGTCCGGACACTTTTACCCCCTTCATGTCCAGGCCAATTTTCAGCTTTCAGCACTGTCACACTTTGAATGACAATTGCGCGGTCATGCAACACTGTACCCATATGAATTTTTTAGCATTTTTTGAGACAGATAAAACTTTATCCTGAAGAAGCCACGTGACTGTGGCGCAACGCGTCGACGTATAGGGGTGACGTACTTCCGGTTCCGGGTTTGGACGCCATCTTTGGACACCTGTATACACCCATAGTACATGGGAACTGCTTTACCTTGCTGAAGGACATGTGAGTGTAATGTTCGTTTTTACTGAGGAAGTGTATTAAACGGTGTTGCACTATGGAGATGTGATTCTGTTTTTCATATGCGACCTGTGCCTGTGTCCATTCTATGAGGGGTATTGGAGTGTAATTGACTGCCTGGAGGAGGATTTTGAGCGGTGAAGGCAGTGGAGGAGAATTATATCTGGCAGAGTCCGTTTTATGAGGGGAGCTTTTGGAGTATTACTTACTGCCTGGAGGAGGATCATGGTCGGTGGAGGCAGTGGAGGAGAATAAACCTGGCAATTATATATATAGAAAAAGCTCTGTGACCCGCAAGGGTCGAATGTGGAAGGTGAGGGGGCATTTTGGCTATCATTGAGGGGAGTCACGTCAAGATTTCACGAAGAGCACTATTGCAGCATGGAGTGATATGATTTGAACACTTGTTATGTTTTTGCACAGTGTGGCATCACCATCCTATTTGTTTTTTATTTAAATCGGTCTGATTATTTGTATTTGAGTACTTTTTGCACAGTTTAAGTATTAATCACTACACCACTAGGGATGTAATATACAGTGATGAGGATATTGCACTAGTTATTATTGTACTATTTGTATAAGAGGTATCATTTATCACCTTTTTCACCAGTGTATATTTATAAAGGGGTTATTGCACTAGTTTTTTGATTATTTTAGTTGAGCGCTTCACCACTTATATAATTTGTTTCACATATCTTGGGGTATAGAGAATAGGTGATAGCAGCTTACTCACTAGGTTCTGTGGAGCGCAGGGGGATTTCTATATATTTTTACTGTACCCATATGAATTTTTTAGCATTTTTTGAGACAGATAAAACTTTATTTTGGTGGTATTTATTCACCACTGGGATTTCTATTTTTTTTTTTGTTATATAAATGAAAAAGTTCAAAAATGTTGAAAATAAGTGTTTTTTACATTTTTTTTTTTTTTTATATTATTATTTATGTTTTTGGGGTTTTTTTACATACTGTCACCCTAGCAGTACAGTGTCACCATAGTGACACTGTACTACTTGTGGGGGGTGATAAAGATTTTTTTTTTTACACTGATTGCTTTTACACCCATAAAGGCTGTAAAAGCAATAATTTCTCCTTCTCTCTGGTTGCATTCTTGCAGCCATTGAGAAATACTGTGTGAGCTGTGATTGGTCACAGCTTGTCATATGGTACAAGGCTGTTGTGAATAGCCCTGTACCATGTGACCTCTGTGATCATTCACAGATTTCACACGTAGTAAGCAATGATGTCAGAAGTGACATCTTGCTTACTACTCTTAATGTGATCACTGATTGGCCAATCAGTGATCACACGATCGGGACCTCACACAGAGGTCCCATGCAACGATCGGTGTTCCACTGTGTCCGGAGGACACAGCGGGCACCAGATCACGGTGCTGCGTGCTCCCAGGGAGCGCGCACAAGCAGGGAGGACGTTTATAAACGGCCACCAGCTCCTACACTACTCCCGTTCAGCCGTTTATATACATGGGCCAGACGGGAAGTGGTTAATAAAGCTGTGCAAGGAAGCATAGAAACAAGATTTCACATTTGCTCAAACGATCAGTACAGGGAAAGATGATTGCTAATTAGGTAATTAGGTTCCTGCACTGAGCACATTGATCTCTGTCTTCCTGGAAAAACTCAACCAAACCTTTGCTCATCCTCACCTGTGCAGTAAGATATGCTCCCCTCTTCCACCACTAAGGTAGGCATGGCCCCACTCCCCTGCAACATGCAGACCACCTTCTCATGACTGCAGTTCCTGATGAGAAAAGGGACGGGGGGGGGGGGTAAAGTTTAATTACATTTTAAATCCCAATTGAAGTCACACTTTTTTTTGTCATAGTCCTCTAGAAACATATGTTATTTATTTCAGGTACTTATATAGCGCCATCAATTTATGCAGCACTTTACATATATATTGTACATTCACATCAGTCCCTAACCCTCAAGGGGCGTACAATCTAAGGTCCCTAACTCACATTCATACATACACATACTAGGGACAATTTAACTAGCAGCATCTCTTTGGAGTGTGGGAGGAAACCAGAGTACCCAGAGGAAACCCACGCAGACACAGGGAGAACATGCAAACTCCAGGCAGGTAGTGGTTGGGATTCAAACCAACAACCCTATTGCTGCCAGGCAGAAATGCTAACCGTTTAGCCACTGTGCTGCCCTGTGTTATCATATATTACTGATTTTCACTAGCTAATGCCAACAAATTCACTGGAAATGCACTTCATGCCCTCCCGTTCCAGTACTCTATGCTAACATATATGAGTAATAGCCAGGGGCGGACTGACAACTCATGGAGCCCCCGGGCAATAGGGGATCATGGTGCCCCTGTGTCCTTGCCCAAACTCAAAAAAGCCTATGAAAAAGGTACCAGGGGCATCTCATTAGGCCCCCTACTGATCCTGGGCCCTCGGGCAGTGCCCGAGTTTCCAAATGGTCAGTCCGCCCCTGGTAATAGCCATACTCCTGATGGAAGAGAGGGGGTGTATTTGGCCAAGTCTGTTGGCGTAGAGCGGAGTGTGGTCAGACTCTGATACCTACTGGACTTTGTGGTCATATTTAGACACACCAAGGAACTGCTATATTAGGAAAGTAAGGGCTCATTTACACTATCAGTAAGAACTGCCACTTTTCTGAAAAGCAATCTAGAGATGAGGAGGAAATATGTTGCATCCTCACTGCCTGTTTTGTATTTCAATGGTTTTTAATTTTAAACAGTTCAAGAAAACGTGAGCAACAAGACAAGCCCACGCAGGGGCTATCAATGGCACATGAAAGTAAAGAAAACAGTGCTCTAACACCAACAGAGCAAAAGGTGCGCCCACACAGGGGCTATCAATGGCACATAGATTACAAAAACAGTGAAATAACACTGACAGTAGCTCAAACCAAAGGCAGCTATCCACTGCCTCACAAAAGACAAACAAAAATAGAAAGGAAAGAAGAGAAGAAAAGGAAGAAGAAGATGAGACCAGGAGCTGGGGTTCAGGAACGCCAATACTGAACAATATTCCTAGTCAGAGGGAGCATGGGAAAAGCATATGTCAACCATGGCTCCCATATTTTCAAATATTTTCGTTATAGATTCTCGACATCTGTTCGTTGAGCATCAGAGTGGTCATACGATCCAGCACCCCCTGAAGAGGGACAGACGGGCTCCATGCCTGAGCAATTGTTCTAGAGGCCAACAAGAACAAATAGGAAGCCAACTTATGCTGGTGAGCCAACAAGGCCCAGTATGGGATAATAAAGCAAACTGTACCGAGCTTCCCGGGCATAAGGAGAGATGGGACAAGGTGAAAAGGAGGCCAAGGCCAATGCACGAGACCAAAAACGAATCAGTTTCGGGCATGACCACCATATATGCAAAACATCTCTATGATGACCACAACCCCGAAAGCGTCAATCACTGCAGGCAGGGTTCACCTGGGCCAAACGAGCCGGGACCCAATACCAACGAAACAATACTTTGTATGCCTCCTCCTGCGTGGTCATATTAAATGAACATTTAGCTATAAACGACCCTTCACTGTCTGTTTTAACCCCTTAAATGCTGCACTACCGTACCACAACTGTATACATTGTGAGTGGTTTACTGGGCGGTTGTAGCTCAGCCCTATTCACATGGATAGGTCAAGTACCAAGGGCATTAGTGCCTGCCAAACAAAGCAGGGGGTATAATTCAAGCCGTGGCCATGGAGCAAAGTATTGTTTTTTTGGCATGTGTACACCCTCAGCTGCTGCCTTTGCAGCTAAAAGAAGAGCATTTGTGGGGCAATAGAGACACTGCTCAGCCAATAGTGTAAATGAGCCCTTAGACTGTGAAAATCAAGACTGTTGCTACAATGTCTGATTGTATATTTATCCCTGTGATTTCAATAGAATTTTAAAGCATTTTATAAAAGATTTCAATCAGTCAATAAAAGACCCAATGCTTTGCAAAAGAGTTGTCTGAATGAATCAAGAGGATGTACATATGTAATAAATTGAATTGCAATTCCAGATACATAAAAGCAGCACTGAAAACTTTTAAGACCTCATGGAAACTTGGCGTTTAGCCCTCGGTGCATGAGATTTTGGCATTTTGGGACAGGCGGAATGCACAGCCTGTAATCTGGCCTTGACTGGGCCTCATGTACACTAGGTGTTTACCCCAGATTAAAGGCAGAATTCCGCCTACCCCAAAACGGCAGGATCTCATGCATCAGGGCTAAACGCCTAATAGACCTAATCAGGGCCAAACTGTAAAAGGAAGGCATAGGAGCACCTAAAGGGTGCATTTTATTCCTGACGGAATGTATGTTAGTCCTGCCAACCACCAAACACAAATTCTCATATTATATAACTTTAAAGGATGCCTTACATTAAAAACGGCACAGATAAGGAGGTTTATCATTCATTATTTAATAAAAAGCATCATAATTAAGTCAAAACTCCAGGCACACCCGTAGATATGCAGTTAATACATAAAACATCCAAGAGGCACTGGAACTTTGATATGAATTCTTATAATCTAGTAAAAGGACAAAAAACATTCGTTTTTTGGCTCAGGTTCCCAACAGGCAAGGCTACTCTCCAATGGGTACCCCAGCTGGTTACCAGAAAAAAATCATGCACCAATGGAAGGTGAACCAGACCAAAGGATAAAAGAGTCCAAATTCCTCCTTCATCAAGACTTCAGCTAAAATAAGAACCTTAAATGGACCCAAAATAGTGCTCTCTTTTGTGAATCTGTGTAGAAAACTTTGCTTATCTTCCTCACGCAGATACTGCTGGCCACTAACTCTCCTGATCCAGCAATTAGCTTCCCTACACAAATCCACTCAGGAAAGCTCTATTTTGAGTCTATTCTTATTTTAACGGAAGCCCTGATGAAGGGGGAGTTTTTTCTGACCCCCGAAACGCGTTGGCTGTTTTTTAGTATAAACGAATAAATAAATTTGGACTCTTTTTTTTTTTGGTCTGGTGCCCCTTCCATCAGTGCATGCTTTTTTATGGTATACAGTTAGTACATAACAGTTCTGCCTACCAAAGGGTTTTTGCTTCAGTTCAGCCAGTCTTCTGATTCAGAGAACATAGCCAGGTCGGTGGCCTCACCTTTCTCCAAAAGTCTTGGTCATTGACGCAACATTGAGCACACTATAAAAAACAGGTACGCCACGGGCCTCTATAGCCAATGCAGGAAAGATAACAGAATATACATAATCCTGCAGGTGAAGGCTGCCAAATGATTGCCGACTCCACCCTGAATAGCTAAATTAATATTGGGTGTAGTCACCAAAACATTTAGATAACACATAAGTGAAAAGAAGGATAGAAAGTACCCCCAAAGAAAGTTTCATAAGGGACCATGCCGCCTATCAAAATATTGTCTATTATTGAAAAAAATCTAAATGCATTGCGCAAGTAACAAACAAGGTAAAAACTTAAGTAAAAACGGATGTAAAACTGACATTTTTTCTTTGAAAAAAATTATGAGAAAAACGATTTGCCCGTGTGAAAGGGGCCAAGTTCAGTTTTATTTTTGTTACACCCACAAGTTGTATTTAAAAACACACTTATTTATTTTAAATGAATTAAATTATATTTTTAATATCTACTGGGAGTTCAGCTTTAAGGACAATATTATAAACTGATGTCCTAGAAAAGTTTTGATTCTTACTGAACAGCATGATACAGCAAACCTGTCATACATTCAGCGCTTTCTGTTTTCATAACTGAATTTGCTACTTGCTGAAGACAATTCAAGCATCACTGAAAGAAAGATAACCGTCTTTGATAGAAATATCCACATCCATTTTCACCACCACCAATCACAGTTAAGCTTTCACCTACTAAGTGAAAGTTGCAATATTACAATTTTAAGGCGACTGGTGGCTATATTATCTGGTGTTAAATTTAAAAAAAATGTCATGAGATAAATATAAAGGCTGATAATTCTGATCCTCTTACTTTAGTACCTTGAGTCACTGATAAAGACAAAGTATGTAGATAAGGTCCTCTGAGTTTTTTGTAGATTTTTTTAATCTGCACACTTGTTCAGGGTCAGTGATTCATTGTTGAAGGCAGCGGGTCAGCATGACAGCCAGGTCACTAGTATTTTCAGAGGGATAGGTCAGAGATAGCAGTCTCCATTTTTCTCTCATGATCAGTTGTTTTAAGCTGAGAAATACTGAAAATATACATACAGCAGGTTAAACAAGTATTGAACACGTCACCATTTTTCTAGGTAAATATATTTCTAAAGGTGCTATTGACATGACAATTTCACCACGTGTCGGTAACAACCCATGCAAGCCATACATACAAAGAAACCAAAAAAAGAAATAAGTTCAGAAAATAAGTTAAGTGTAATAAAATGGAATGACACAGGGAAAAAGTATTGAACACACTAAATGAAATGTATTTAATACTTTGTACAAAATCATTTGTTCGTAATGACAGCTTCAAGACATCTCCTGTATAGAGAAACTAGTCGCATGCATTGCTCAGGTGTCATTTTGGCCCATTCTTCCACACAGACTTCAAATCTTGAATGTTCTGCGGGCCTCTTCTATGAACTCTGATCTTTAGATGTTTCCATAGATTTTCTATTTGATTCAAGTCAGGTGATTGGCTGGGCCATTCTAGCAGGTTTATTTTCTTTCTTTGGAACCAATTGAGAGTATCCTTGGCTTTGTGTTTGGGATCATTGTCTTGCTAAAATGTCCACCCTCATTTCATCTTCATAATCCTGAAGGACGGCAGCAGATTTTATGAAGAATGTCTTGGTACATTTTTCCATTCATCCTTTCTTCAACGAAATGAAGTTTGCCAGTACCATATGCTGAAAAACAGCCCCACACCATGATGTTCCCACCTCCATGCTTCACTGTTGGTACGGTGTTTTTTGTGTGATGTGCAGAGCCATTTTACCTCCAAACATGTTGTGTATTATGGCATCCAAAGAGTTCAATTTTGATCTCATCTGACCAGACTATATTCTCTCAGTATTTCACAAGCTTGTCTAAATGTTGTGCAGCAAACATTAAACGAGCTTCAACATGCTTTTTCTTCAGCAATGGAGTCTTGCGTGGTGAGCGTGCATACAGGCCATGGTGGATGAGTGCATTACTTATTGTTTTCTTTGAAACAATTGTACCTGCTAAATCCAAGTCTTTCTGAAGTTCTCCACAAGTGGTCATTGGCTCTTGGACAACTCTTCTGATAATTATTTTTCACTCCTCTGTCAGAAATCTTGCGAGGAGCACCTGGTCGTGGCCAGTTTAAGGTGAAATGATGTTCTTTCCGCTTCTGGATTATGGCTCTAGCAGTGCTCACTGGAATATTTAGAAGTTTGGAAATCCTTCAGTAACCAATGCCATCAGTAGATTTTGCAACAATAAGTTTGCGAAGGTCTTGAGAGAGCGCTTTGCTTTTACCCATTATGAGATGTTTCTTGTGTGGCACCTTGGTAATGAGACACCTTGTTATAGGCCATCAGTTGAAACTGAACCAGCTGATATTAATTTGTACTGACAAGAGGCAGGATTGCTTTCTAATTACTGATAGATTTCAGCTGGTTTCTTGGCTCTCCATGCCTTTTTGCACCTCCCTTTCTTCATGTGTTCAATACTTTTTCCCTGTGTCATTCCATTTTATTACTGATAAATTCATTTCTGAACTTATTTGTTTTGGTTTCTTTGTATGTATAGATTGCATGGGTTGTTACCGACATGTGATGAAAATGTTATATCAATAGCACCTTTAGAAATATATTTACCTAGAAAAATGGTGATGTGTTGAATACTTATATTACCCACTGTATTTTCCAAAGGAGGTCAACAGTTACAGTCCTTTATTCATCCTGTGACAGGCAACTTAAAGTGCACCTGTGCCGAGATTATAGACATCAAAGTATTTACATATTCTTAACAGCCATTAAAAGGGCTTTAAAAAAGTCATCACTGACTTCACTAGCTGCTTTTAATGTGAAGTAATTCCGTTCTCAAAAATACTCAAAGATAAACTCTAGTGTTTGGTTTTAGTCTGCTTCTAACAGCTTAGAAACACCCCCTTGTGTTTACATTAGAGGTCTGTCAGGCTGCCCCTCTGTTGTCAGTTTTGAAGATGAATTTCTCCACATTGCCTATAGCTACAGAGGTTAACATGGGCTTGTTTTACAGTTATTCTACTGCTTGCTTGAAATATGTACATTTTCTGTGCATACTCTAGGCAAATGTTTATTTTAAGATACATTATACACACAGAACAAGACCCTATTTTCTTACAGTATTATCTGCCGCAGAGTTGACACAAACACTGCGTTATCCTCCTCACCTCATGTCCAAGCCATTCAAGAACAAGATTCTATCTCCAGGTCGGAGACCGGCCACATCTGCAGGGCTGCCTGGAAGAGACAAGTCATTATTCTCTGACATGTTAACATATGCTTTATATACTTCATCTGCTGCCCTGTGCTGACTAGGGGAAGTAAAATAATTGCCCGGAGCATGTTCTCACAATCAGCTCGGTCACATGCTCGAAGCAGGTCAAACGCAGTTCAACAGCAGGTCAACTGCAGATCAAATTTTGAATGATCTTAGAAGTGTCCCAAAACTGATGTCAAAACCAATGTCAAACATATTCTGTCACCCACCCATGTAAATCAGGCTGATAATCAGGGTCTAGGCAGGATACAAGAGCAAATCTAGAGGTTTTTAGCCACTAAGGAAAACATGAGCTCTTCTTCTACTTGCAAACGAAGAGTAAAGAGCTGCGGCTGGGGTGAATAGCATTAAAGCTGTGAGTTGGGTCAGTTCACCCCAGTGCTATCATCCATAATCAAGGCAGGTATTGCCTATACAAATGCTACTATCTGCTACCCGTCCATGCATGAAACCTGGCCTGAGATTGTAGGCGCTTCAGTCACACATATATACTGAAGGCAGGATGCTCCATCATTGTATTCAGTGCTATAGATGTTAACTGCCTTGACTTAGGCTTGGTTCACATGTGTGCGGGTGGTGCCACTGTGGATCCGCACAAAAATCCGTGCAGCCGCACCACCTGCACAGAGAAATGTGGTCCCGCGGGCAGGTGCCATTAGTTCTAATGGCACACCGCCCGCACTGGAAATCGCAACCGTACTGGGAACCGAGGTTCCTGTGTGGGCTGCGTTTTCCAAAGTAGTGCAGGGACTTCTTCCCTGCGTGTCACAGGGCACGGGAGTCCATTCAAATGAATGGGCTCTCGTGCCAACGCAAAACGTGGCCCGCGTGGCTGCATATGTGTGAACCAGGGCTGACAGAGGAGTTTTAAGGAGGGCCAGGTAACTTCCTGTACTAGCTGGACTGATGTCTTGCTAGACTCCAGGCAAACTGGACTACCCTGGAAACTACTGTGCCTAATAGTAGACCCAACTTCAGTAGACTTGACGGATATGAACTTTTTCACAATTAGCCATCAGACATGCAATTAAGAAGTCTTCTCAAGACAGAACACGTAAAAACTCTACAATCAGTAACCTGGAACTGATCAGTAGGGGCACCAAGCATTCAGTTGTTTAAGTCCTCATGCACACTGCAGGTTATTACAGCGGCTGTTTTTGGCTTTTGGTGTTTTTTCTACAGCCAGTAAACCCCCCCAGCATGTTATCCTATGTGTCCATCCCCGGCATGTTATCCTATGTGTCCATCCCCGGCATGTTATCCTATGTGTCCATCCCTGGCATGTTATCCTATGTGTCCATCCCCAGCATGTTATCCTATGTGTCCATCCCCGGCATGTTATCCTATGTGTCCATCTCCAGCATGTTATCCTATATGTCCATCTCCGGCATGTTATCCTATGTGTCCATCCCCGGCATGTTATCCTATGTGTCCATCTCCAGCATGTTATCCTATGTGTCCATCCCCGGCATGTTATCCTATGTGTTCATCCCCGGCATGTTATCCTATGTGTCTATCTCTGGCATGTTATCCTATGTGTCCATCTCCGGCATGTTATCCTATGTGTCCATCTCCAGCATGTTATCCTATGTATCCATCCCCAGCATGTTATCCTATGTGTCCATCCCCGGCATGTTATCCTATGTGTCCATCCCCGGCATGTTATCCTATGTGTCCATCCCCAGCATGTTATCCTATGTGTCCATCCCCGGCATGTTATCCTATGTGTCCATCCCCGGCATGTTATCCTATGTGTCCATCCCCGGCATGTTATCCTATGTCTCCATCCCCGGCATGTTATCCTATGTGTCCATCTCCGGCATGTTATCCTATGTGTCCATCTCCAGCATGTTATCCTATGTGTCCATCTCCGGCATGTTATCCTATGTGTCCATCTCCAGCATGTTATCCTATCTGTCCATCCCCAGCATGTTATCCTATGTGTCCATCCCCAGCATGTTATCCTATGTGTCCATCTCCAGCATGTTATCCTATGTGTCCATCCCCAGCATGTTATCCTTGGTGTCCATCCCCAGCATGTTATCCTATGTGTCCATCCCCGGCATGTTATCCTGTGTGTCCATCCCCGGCATGTTATCCTATGTGTCCATCCCCAGCATGTTATCCTATGTGTCCATCCCCGGCATGTTATCCTACGTGTCCATCCCCGGCATGTTATCCTACGTGTCCATCCCCGGCATGTTATCCTGTGTGTCCATCCCCGGCATGTTATCCTATGTGTCCATCCCCGGCATGTTATCCTATGTGTCCATCCCCAGCATGTTATCCTATGTGTCCATCTCCAGCATGTTATCCTATGTGTCCATCCCCAGCATGTTATCCTATGTGTCCATCTCCAGCATGTTATCCTATGTGTCCATCTCCAGCATGTTATCCTATGTGTCCATCCCCGGCATGTTATCCTATGTATCCATCCCCAGCATGTTATCCTATGTGTCCACCTCCAGCATGTTATCCTATTTGTCCATGTACACATACACTATAATCAGTGTTTTTAGGTGGGGGCGTTTCTTGGCTGGGAAAAACCAAGGACTAGTGGGTTTCTAAAGGAGTTTTTTAGCTGTAAAAATGCAGCAAACTGGCATTTTTGGACATTTTTTTAAGTAAAAAAATAATTTTTTCTTTTGCTAAAAAATGCAAACGCGGCAAAACACTAATGCAAACATGCTAAAAAAAAAAAACGCTGAAAAACGCACGTTTTTAACGCGACTTTACACCGCTGATGTTACTAGTGTTATTAACCATTGGCCACCCGGCCAATGGCCGTTTGGCGGCCACAAAAATGCACTAGATTTCCGGGGTGGATGCCATTTGGCATCCTCCCGCACATGCGCAGTTTTTGCGCTTGCAGAGCCGCGCATACTGATCACTTCCCCAAAGTAGTACAATGTTACTATGGTAACATTGTACTACTTTGGTCATAGTGAAATATGAAAAATAATCTTAATTTTTTTTTTTTTTTTTTAAATGTAATAAAAAATTTAAAATAATAAAAAAAAAAAAAAATCTATATTTTTTTTTTTCATACTGTCACCAGTCAGTGTCCCTGATCACCGCCATGCCAGTTATATGATGACGCTGTACTGCACTGGTGACAGTATGTAAAAAAAAAATAGTGAAAATAATTTTTTTAATTTTTTCATTTTCCGAAAAATTATGGCAAAAAAATACAACTTCAAAAAACTCGCCATTCCTCTTATGAAATACGTCGGACTGTCTACTTTACAAAAAGGGGTAATTTGGGGGATTTCTGTACTGTTCTGACATTCTTGGACCTCAAGAAATTAGATTGGCTGTCAGTACTTCAGGATTGATCAATATTCAGATCTATACCATAGTTTGTGAACTCTATAACTTTCCTACAAACTAAAAAATACATCCTAATTTGGGTTATTTTCACCAAAGACATGTAGTAGAATACATCTCGGCCTAAATTTATGAAGAACAATTATTTATTTGCAAACTTTTATAACAGAAACAAAGAAAAACGTGTTTTTTCTTCAAAATTTTTGGTCTTTTTTTGTTAATTTAGCAAAAAATAAAACCCCCAGCAGTGATTAAATACCACCAAAAGAAAGCTCTAGTTGTGTAAAGAAAATGATAACATTTTAGTTTGGGTACAATGTTGTATGACCGCGCAATTGTCATTCAAAGTGTGAGAGCGCTGAAACCTGAAAAATGGCCTGGGCAGGAAGGTGTAAAATTGCCCGGTATTGAAATGGTTAAAACACCCCGTGTGCATGGAGCCAAAGGGTTATGTCATGCTAGTTACTGTTGCCGATGACAAGTCAACAGTACCAGATTTGCAAAAAATACTAGTCACCTGCTTCCACAGGGTTGATCCTTCAATATCTGAAATACTACAGAATATCATTCACACAGGGTAGCCATTCTCAACATTACAGATTCACAATAGCATATCCAAAGCTTCTTAGGCACAAAAGAATAAGGACATACATTTGAAACCATGTGATATACTGAAATTGTTACTGGACAACTGGTGCATTACTATGGTCAGCAACGTTACAGCACGACTTATTGTCCTTTTGTTACGATGCAATAGTCATGTACACAAATTTCTGCAACCTATTTGAAATTTGTCCAAAATAAAAATTAAAAAATTTAATCTCACTCACCAAGGAGGAAGCAGATATGGAGTGAAACCATGGGGACTATTTACTTAAACTGGAGAGTACAAAATCCGGTGCAACTCTGCAAAGAAACCAATCAGCTTCTAGGTTTTATTACTGAAGCTTAACTGCTTCAGCTTCACCCCATAGCAGTACTGCTACAGGGCGGCAGCTGTGCGTAAAATCACGTATATATACGTGATTTTGAATTTCCGGGTAGGGGGAGAGCGCCGCCATTCGTGACCGCGGCTGTCAATCACCGGGTGCCTCGTGATTGCCGAGGATCTCTAACGGGAGGGGGAGAACTGTTAGTAAATAAAACAGTTCTTCTCCCTGTCAGCTCCGGTACACTGCCTTGAATGGCTGTGCACAACACAGCCATAAAAAGCAGTGTGCTTAGAGTGAAGTACAAACACAGAACATTGTGTAAAACAGCACACAGTTAACCCTTTGATCGTCCTTCATGTTAATCCCTTCCTGCCCAGTGTCATTAGTACAGTCAGTGCTTTTTATTAGCACTTATCACTGTATTGGTGTCACTGGGGATGTCAGTGACACCAAGTCAGTTCCTCCCAGTGTCAGAATGCTCACTGCAGTCCCGTTATAAGTTGCTGATCGCCGCCATTACTAGTAAAAATGTAAAAAAAAAAAAAAGCCTGGTACATATACTGTCATTTGTAAACACTATAACTTTCACGTAATCCAATTAATTTACATGTATTGGGAATTTTTTTAGCAAAGACGTCGCAGAATACATTTTTGGCCAAAATGTATGAGGAAATATGATTTTTTTTAAATTTTTTTACTGGACATGTTTAATAGCAAAAAGTCAAAAATATTGTTAATTTTCTCAAAATTGTTGTTTTTTTTTATAACACAAAAAATAAAAACCGCATAGGCAATCAAATACCATCAAAAGAAAGCTCTATTTGTGGAAAAAGGACGTTAATTTCATTTGGATGCAGCGTTGCATGATCGCGCAATTGTCAGTTAAAATAACGCAGGGCCGTAACGCAAAAAATTGCCTAGTCAGGAAGGTGGGGGTAAATCCTCTGGAGGGCAAGTGGTTTTTTTAATTGAACAAGCTGAAGTTAGAGGCTGATTGGCTACCATGCACAGCTGCACCAGATTCTGAGCGATTGAGAGTACAGAGGCTACTGCTGTTCAGAGTACTAGACTTTTTCTTCAGCCACCTTTGCTGTTCACCTGGTCCCACACAACCTTCATACAAACTAATGGGTTTCCTAAGGTGGGCTATGAAGCCCAAGTATAAGTGAAGCAGAATAGCTACACATTTATAACCTCATAGCTGCTTGTAAGAGCTGATGAAACCGCTGATTGTTAGGTGGTTCTTAACAGAACACACCTACCGACCAGCAGAGGGATGACAAATACAGTGCAGAAAGCCTACTTAATAATGCGTAAATCATACTGCAGACAATAAAACTATAAAAAAAAAAACTTCTATCTTTTTTACAGCAGTAATTTTCTCTTTTATGTAAGACAGTAGGAATGCTATTGATTTAGAGGTCTTATTGACATTTTTCCACGCCTGCTTTTGTTTTGCGCCTTTTGAAATGTTTCTCATTCTCTGGCTTTTCTTCGAGTGAGCAAAGATATTTTTAACCTGGTGTGGGCGAAACAGTAGAGCTCAGCTCTGGTATCCTTTCAATGCCGGTAGGGACAGAGTTGGAGAGGTGAAGGGTAGGGTTAAAGTTAAGATTGGGATTAGGTTACAGGCAGAGTAAATGTTAGCGTAGATCCTCACTAAGGTAAAATATTGGATGTGGGCCATGCTTAACACTTGCCAAAATGGTCCTCTTTCTCCCAGTAGGAGTTCCATCACTGGCCTAAATCTATTGAGTTGTCCAAGGCCAATGCCAATATCAGACTAGTACTGTTTCCAGCATGCTTCGTTGATCCCTGGTAGCTTCTGGAAGACTAAAAAATAAACAATGCTTAACTATGACACTTGCCAAAAAGGTCCTCTTGCTCCCAGCAAGAGTTCCATCACTGGCCTAAATCTATTGAGTTGTCCAAGGCCAATGCCAATATCAGACTAGTACTGTTTCCAGCATGCTTCGTTGATCCCTGGTAGCTTCTGGAAAACTAAAAAAAAAAAAAACAATGCTTAACTATGACACTTGCCACAAAGGTCCTCTTGCTCCCAGCAGGAGTTCCATCACTGGCCTAAATCTATTGAGTTGTCCAGGGCCAATGCCAATATCAGACTAGTACTGTTTCCAGCATGCTTCGTTGATCCCTGGTAGCTTCTGGAAGACTAAAAAAAAAAACAATGCTTAACTATGACACTTGCCAAAAAGGTCCCCTTGCTCCCAGCAGGAGTTCCATCACTGGCCTAAATCTATTGAGTTGTCCAAGCCAATGCCAATATCAGACTAGTACTGTTTCCAGCATACTTCGTTGATCCCTGGTAGCTTCTGGAAAACTAAAAAAAAAACAATGCTTAACTATGACACTTGCCAAAAAGGTCCTCTTGCTCCCAGCAGGAGTTCCATCACTGGCCTAAATCTATTGAGTTGTCCAAGCCAATGCCAATATCAGACTAGTACTGTTTCCAGCATACTTCGTTGATCCCTGGTAGCTTCTGGAAAACTAAAAAAAAAACAATGCTTAACTATGACACTTGCCAAAAAGGTCCTCTTGCTCCCAGCAGGAGTTCCATCACTGGCCTAAATCTATTGAGTTGTCCAAGCCAATGCCAATATCAGACTAGTACTGTTTCCAGCATACTTCGTTGATCCCTGGTAGCTTCTGGAAGACTAAAAAAAAAAAAAACAATGCCCAACAGTGGAATACCGTACCTGGCACAATAGATTCAATCCACACAGGGGCATTTCCCCGAAGAGTGAATCCGAAGCTGCTGCTTCCTTTGCACACCCTCACTGTCCTAGAATGGAAAAATAGACATAATATTGGAAGCTAGAAAGAAAGGACTTTATTAAACAGACGCTGTCACCAACTTTAAAAAACAGGTAATAGTACAGAAAAAAAAACATTTTAAATGCTTACTTACAGTGTTTTTTCTTTCCATAAATTATAATTTTATTCACTTGAAATGTGCTTTAAAACTTTCTAACATATTTAACTACTCCAGGAAGAATCATTACCTTAGCACAGCCCCCTTCTTCCACCATTGACCACTTTTGCTTCTTACATCCCTAACAAACCTTACCGGAGATGAGATGCATCATCAGTCTTCACCTACAACTCCACAATAGTCTTAAAAATGAATCTGTCTCTCTCTCTTGCAGCTAGATTCTCCAAATATTTATTCTACACTAGGAAGACTCCATTAGGAGAACACAATACCTTCATGTGGCTTTGCAGTTGGTTTGGAAATTGGGTGGATATGATTACTCTGGTGGGAATGCTTGAGAAATTTATAGCCAGTATCGGGTGGGGATGGTCTTTAAAATAGTTTTAGCTTGCAGAAGGTAGGTGTGTACAATGGGCACCGCCATTTTGGTTATTCATGCTCAGGATGTTGACAGGCCATATGGGGAGTATCCTCTCTTTGGCTGAATGGGCTTTGCTCACTCTATACCACATTGCTTATGTTCAAGAAGGGCTTTCTCCTGACGGATCTCCTCACATTTCTGTATGTTTGGTCACTGGTGGGCTCTCTTAGGAGAGTTATCCCAGTTGGTCTGTTTCTCTGTAGGACATCTAGGTATTGACCTTTTCAATATCATTTTACTAATTATGGAATCTTTGGCATTACTGTGGGGGCTTGTCTCTACTCTGTGAATACCATTTACTGGCTGGCTGTATATCTCTGCTACTTTTTATATCTTCTCATTTTGGCTACAATATTACAAAGCTTGCAAAAGGAAGTGGATCCTGAAGAAGCTCTTTTTGGGCAAAACGCATCAATCTATGTGCTCTTCATTTTTCAATTTGAAGCATATGTACCTTTTCATTGTACTGTAGCTGGTATTGAATGCTTTTATATAGTCATCATCAGGTTTAATCTGTATAATAAAAATAGGTTTTTATATTCATACTTTTGTTTTCTCTGTGTATGAGGACACCTTAAAATCCCCACTTCCCTTGGTCTACTCCTTTTGAGGGGATATTATGGAACTTGTTCAATTAATGTAGTAGGTGTGTAAGTGAAGTGTTGTTGCTTTTGCATGACGGTAAAAACAGCAAGAAAATCAGTTTGGTATCTCCTTTTTACTTGGTTTACTATCTGTCTCTATACAGTAAACACTGCTGCACTCTCTTATCTATTCCAGGCAAAGATCACCCACTGCACCCTTTGCCAGTCCATTTTTCCCCTCCAGAAAAGACATTTCATTCACTCTAAGTACCTATGTGGCTTTCCTGTGCCCACGCTGCCAGCTATTAGAGAAGTGCTCTTCTTCAGTCCCCTGCCCAACTCATCCTGGCAGTGTGGCATTTGTGCTGCCCTTGTAGACACCAACAGCCTCTCATGATGGTCCTCACTGCGGCTTCTTCGGAGACGGTTGCTGCGCTCAGTCCTGGATCGACAGATCTTGCTGATGAGACTTTGGGACACGACATGGTCAAAACGCTGCCGATGCTTCTTGGGAATAAAGATTCTGTTGAAAAAAAAAAAAAACACAGGTATAAGAGCTGGCCCAGCAGTTGGCACATTTGTGTCAACAGAACTATAAGACAGGTAACCTGTTGGCTGGGAACGTCTAGACTTGCAATTGTAGTAAGAAAACTTCAAACAAGCTCAACAGCTCTGGCGAGGCAGCTACAACACAGCAAGGCTTCTTTTGGTGGGCACCCAACTGTAGCTCAAACCATAGAAATACAGAAAGGAGCCTCCATTGATGCTCAGCAAATCTGTCAAGTTGTCACTCTGAGACAAGGGTTCAATACTGGGTCTAATATAGATCTGTGCAGTCACTGTTTACTCCGAGTCTATCCAAGTTTAATTTTGTCCTGAGCCCCGAAGAAGGGGGAGTGGTGTTGCCTCAATACATGTTGGATGTTTTTATATATTGGTGGGCACCCAACTGTAGCTCAAACCATAGAAATACAGAAAGGAGCCTCCATTGATGCTCAGCAAATCTGTCAAGTTGTTACTCTAAGAAAAGGGTTCAATACTGGGTCTAATATAGATCTGTGCAGTCAGGAGTCCATCCAAGTTTAATTTTGTCCTTAGCCCTGAAGAAGTGGGAGTGGTGTTGCGCCAATACATGTTGGATGTTTTTTATATATTGGTGGGTACCCAACTGTAGCTCAAACCATAGAAATACAGAAAGGAGTCTCCATTGATGCTCAGCAAATCTGTCAAGTTGTCACTCTGAGACATGGATTCAATACTTGGTCTAATCTAGATCTGTGCAGTGACTGTTTACTTCGAGTCTATCCAAGTTTAATTTTGTCCTGAGCCCTGAAGAAGGGGGACTGGTGTTGCCCCAATACATGCTGGATATTTTTATATGCAATTAAAATGTTCTCTTTCATCCAGGATTGATTCTGTGCTCCTTATTAGGGATATTTTCCATTTCATCCTGTTCCTGTGACATACAGTGGGGCAAAAAAGTATTTAGTCAGCTACCAATTGTGCAAGTTCTCCCACTTAAGAAGATGAGAGAGACCTGTAATTGGCATCATAGGTAGACCTCAACTATGAGAGACAAAATGAGAAAAAAAATCCAGACAATCTCATTGGCTGATTTGGAAAGAATTTATTTGCAAATTATGGTGGAAAATAAGTATTTGGTCACCTACAAACAAGCAATATTTCTGGCTCTCACAGACCTGTACCTTCTTCTTTAAGATGCTCCTCTGTCCTGCACTCATTACCTGTATCAATGGCACCTGTTTGAACGTGTTATCAGTATAAAAGACACCTGTCCACAACCTCAAACAGTCACACTCCAAACTCCACTATGGTGAAGACCAAAGAGCTGTCAAAGGACACCAGAAACAAAATTGTAGACTTGCACCAGGCTGGGAAGGCTGAATCTGCAATAGGCAAGCAGCTTGGTGTGAACAAATCAACTGTGGGAGCAATAATTAGAAAATGGAAGACATACAAGACCACTGATAATCTCCCTTGATCTGGGGCTCCACACAAGATCTCACCTGATGGGGTCAAAATGATCACAAGAACGGTGAGCAAAAATCCCAGGACCACACGGGGGGACCTAGTGAATGACCTGCAGAGAGCTGGGACCAACGGAATAAAGGCTACCATCAGTAACACACTACGCCGCCAGGGACTCAGATCCTGCAGTTCCAGACGTGTCCCCCTGCTTAAGCCAGTACATGTCCAGGCCCATCTGAAGTTTGCTAGAGAGCATTTGAATGATCCAGAAGAGGATTGGGAGAATGTCATAAGGTCAGATGAAACCAAAATAGAACCATTTGGTAGAAACACAACTCGTCGTGTTTCTAGGAGAGAGAATGCTGAGTTGCATCCAAAGAACACCATACCTACTATGAAGCATGGGGGTGGCAACATCATGCTTTGGGGCTGTTTCTCCACAAAGGGACCGGGACGACTGATCCATGTACAGGACAGAATGAATGGGGCCATGTATCGTGAGATTTTGAGTGCAAACCTCCTTCCATCAGCAAGGGCATTGAAGATGAAACGTGGCTGGGTCTTCCAACATGACAATGATCCCAAAAATATACCGCCCGGGCAACGAAGGAGTGGCTTCGTAAGAAGCATTTCAAGGTCCTGGAGTGGCCTAGCCAGTCTCCAGATCTCAACCTCATAGAAAACCTTTGGAGGGAGTTGAAAGTCCGTGTTGCCCAGTGACAGCCCCAAAACATCACTGCTCTAGAGGAGATCTGCATGGAGGAATGGGCCAACATACCAGCAACAGTGTGTGCCAACCTTGTGAAGACTTACAGGAAACGTTTGACCTCTGTCATTGCCAACAAAGGATATATAACAAAGTATTGCGATCACCTAGGCCAGGGGTAGGCAACCTGAGAGCAGCAGAACTACAAGTTCCATCATGCCTCTGCAAGTCATAGCTGTAACTGTCAGTTTTGTAATCTTTGCAATGCCTCATAGGAAATGTAGTTCCACAACAGCTAGAGAGCCACAGGTTGCCTAGCCCTGGCCTAGGCGATCAGAAGCGTAACTTGTCCACCTCCTCTCCCTCCCCGTAGTCTTGTGGGACATGTGACAGGTCCCAGAAGACGACAGGGCCATTCAGGAAGCGCAGCACTACTTGCGCATGCGCAGTGGGCACCTGGTTGTGAAGCCACAAGCTGTCACAGCCGGGTGCCCACACTGAACATGCTGGCGCCTGGAATACAGTACGGCCGGTGAAACAGGGATCGTAGGACAGGTAAGTGGCTGTTTTATAAAAGTCAGCAGCTATAGTTTTTGTAGCTGCTGACTTTTATTTTTTTACAGTGTGAGTGGAACTCCGCTTTAATCTCAACTTCAGGCACATAAAAAAACAACAAAATGTAGTTATGTATATATTAAAAGTTACTAAAACTATTTTTAAATGCAGACACTGTACGTTATGAACGTTACTCAGTACTGGCCTATTGTGATCCCATAAGCAGGAGAACTGAGGGTGGAGGCCAAATTGGATGTTCTAGGAGCCAATCAGGTACATGGCATGCAAACATACCAACAAGGAGAATCCTGAGATGTGGAGAGAACAGTTGTGTGATCTCATCAATTTCCTACTACTCCTTTATTGTCCAATCACAAGCTGGAGGCAAGGCGGTGACCAGGCTTCATTGCCTAATGAAATAAAGTAAAGCCAGGTCACAAAAGTGGCTGCGCTGTATGGAATGAATGGAAAGCCATACAAATCCCATGGGAGGTAAAGCAGATCCCTTATATGTATTTAAATTCTTGATTTAGGTGGAATTCAGTTTTAACAAGAAAATCAACACTGCCCATTTTTCTTCCAGGCACTTTTCTACACAAGGACCAAACTCTCACATCTTATTTCACGGTGTCACAGCGTGACAACTGATTTGATCCGCTGTTTCGCATCCACCCTTTCTCTCCCAAACATTTAATTTTTCCTTCATTCCTTCCTTTCTCCTCTCCTCCCAATGGTGCTGACATTTCCACAAGGAGCCGAAGCAAGTCTCAGAAGATTTGGCGTAGCTAGGCTCATCGTATAATTATCCCAGCAGCGAGATAAAAGTCAGCTTGCCAGCATGCACACGCATCCGTCAGCCCCGACTCTTTCTGCAGCTGCCTGTGTCTGCCACCTTGGTATTTTCAGATCAAAGGATGGAAATTCATCTCTCAGGGTTCAGACAAAGTACAAAGCTCAAAGTGTCTTGTGATTTGCTTTTGACATGTTGCTTTTCTTTTTTTTTTTTTTTTTTTAATGCAGTCTTTAAAATCGCCTTTACCAAACAAAACAGGAAACAGATTTATACACTGTTTTAATCATTTGCTGCTTAAAAAGATATTAACCTTTCATTCTGCCAGGGTTAAATCCCACTCACGTGGAGAGGAGAAGCGGCATTCTATAGCAAACATGAAGCTCTTATTGAACACATTAATAGACATGTTGCAATACATATGTACAGCAGCATACCTTGAAATATGCTGCTGTACATACATATAATGTAGCATGTCTCTTAATAAGAGCTTCATGATTGGTAAAGGGCAGACCTGGTAACCTAGCTCACAAAACAAAAGTACCAAGAAAATTCTATGGATAAAGGCTTGCAAGCATATCAGTTATGGTGCTTAGAGAGCTGGCCCATTGAATTGTCTAAAGTTGGATACAACTGAACAGATATATACGTACCCACATGCAGTACAAGCAGCTATGGTGACATACAAACTACAAAACCAAGCAACCAATGACATTTTAATTAACACTAATCACATGCTGATATGGGGTAATAGCATGACGGTAACCTTTACCCACCCAGACTGACATCAATTCAGCTAAGGGTGACTTCTGATTGCTATGGGATACTAAATAAGCCGACAATCGTATTGCCACCATAGTATAGTTTTCTTCCAATTTATACAGAAGCAAGGCAGCTTTTCTTGGGTCAATGCTATTTGCTAATATCATGTTCCTCCCACCTGTACCATCGTAAGGGTTACAGATGAAAAAGCTGAGGTCTTCATTAGACCTGTTTGAGACAGCATGTACCACTCTTGAATCACTGTAAATTCATTAACGACAGAGCAACCACCAGCCAAGCTTTCTCTTTCAGTAGACCACACTTTGAAGAGGTGCCTTGGTGGCATTAATGTATATATGCAAAGTTATGCCGGTAAGAACTTTACATATAAGTTGGAAGGTATTTTGATTAGGCCAGCAGGATTGAGTGCTGGGGAATCATGTGCTGTTCAGTTGCCAAGAATGGACCCTACTGTATTCCCTTCTCTTGCTGGTAAATATTGGCTGAGTAAAATTTTTTTTTTTTCCTAGTTGGACTGGCCAGACGTTCTTTACCCAAGGTTCAACCTATGTCTGCAGGATTCTAAGGTATTCAAATTCCAGATAAAAGATGTAACTAATAGTAAATGTACTTGCTACTGACTCAACTAGAGGGGAGATTAGAAATAAAATAAAAAAAACATCTAAACTACTCTTGAGATAGGTTGAGGTTATGCTCACA